TATCTATCTATCTATCTATCTATCTATCTATCTATCTATCTATCTATATCTATATGTAACTGGAGCAACCACAACAATATCTTTTAAAATTATTTACCAGAATATTTTGTGGTACAGGATTAAATATCATTAGTACTTAGGCATGATCATAGCCCTTTCTATTAGAAAAGCTTTTTATGGTCATTCATGATAAGGAGCTCAGTTATTTCTCCTGAACATCATGAATTATGTAAAAGTAATTCTATATGATTCTCAAACACTGACAACATACCCTCCTCTACCCTGCCTGCTCAGGGTTCCCAAGAAAGTGTTTCTCTTCTGTATATCACTTAGCTCATCCTTAGTGTTAAATGAATGTAAACTATTATTAGTAGTATTTAGAGGAAATGCTTTGGGGTATAAAGTAGATGATACCTTACTGCTCTTTTCAGTTTCCTGAAATAACATACCAATTCTGTGCTCATCAGCTACAAAATCATTATCCATCGCTAATGGACAGGATTTTCCCAGGGTTATTACTTCTAATATTATGGTGCTTTTGCTTTCTGAATCCTTTTAAAAACCTAATTCAAATAAGGTGATTCATGATGTGTCAAGAAGAAAGTGAATTATTCTACTATATTTTTAATATAATCTATATTTTATAGTTCCTAGAAATAAATCTTATTTACAGTTGATAAATCCTGTCTTTGCTCACATGTAAATATCCACAATGGTGGATTTTGGTGTAACAGAACAGCTTCTGTATTAAAGCCTTGTAAATTATGTAGAGGCTCATAGGAAAGTGACTGGCACAGATAAGAGATCTAATTTTGTTTAGAAATCTCCCCTCAGTAGGACAGAACACACTGATATGAAACAAATGTTTTGTTGACATTTGGTAGGGCAGAACTAGCTCAGAAATGAGCTCCCACACCCATATGTGACTGTCAATTCTATCCCAAAATGTTTGTTTGGCTTTTGGGTAGCGACCACTTCCAGCTAGTGAGTGACTTGGGTGTTTGTGAGTATAAAGCCACCAAAAAATGAGAAATCCATTGAATTGGTAAATAGGTTCCTTTAAAAAATATTTCCAGTGTCTCCAAAGTAAAAAATAATCACTTGATCACATTTTTTATTCTTTTGATTTACATCTTGTAATCTTGAACAAGTTGCTTCACCACCTAAGTCTCAGTTTCCTCATCTCTAAAATGAGGGAGTTGGATCATCTCTGAAGTTTCTTTCATCTTGAAAGTTAAGATCATTTAAGGATATATGTATATGTAATATAAGTGCACATATAATATGTACATATGTTCACGTATATATATATATATTTATTTGTATACGTCCATGAACATATGTATACTCATGAACATATATGTCCATGACCATATGTATACTCATGAACATATATTCAGGTTTAAGCTATTAAAGCTTAAAACTGTATTAAGATTTTGGGATTAACCTGTATGTGTCTATATATATATAGAAATACATGTATACATGCATATATGTACAAATATGTGTATATACACATATACATGTGAAAATGTGGTCAAATTCAGAAATACAGTAAAAAATAAGCATACAATTTGAGTATATCCAGGCAAAAGCTATGAAAATATACTATATTGATTTGCCTAGTCAGCTGTAGAAGTGCCCAACTATATTTGGGCAAATCTATAAAACATCTCTGAAACATGTTCAACATTTTTCCCTTTATCAGGGTCTGGGGATGGTTTAGGAGCTGCCTCATTCTAATGTTTACAAACGATTTCTTCCCAATGACAAATAGGAGGTAGATGAACTTATTGCCTATTCAACATTGAATAATGGAGTTGTCTATATGTAAAAAGGGCATGTTTCTTTGGAAGCTTCATCCTTCAATAGATATTATGGGGATTCTGTAGCAGCAGATTTCGTTGGAAATTAGATGGTTCTTTTGGTTTTATCTTTGTATCCCTGGCACCTAGTAGGTACTTAATAAGTGCTTATTGATTAATTCCAGTGCCAAGGAAATCCTACCCTCTAAGAGATGAACAGTAATTTGAACTCTTGAGATAAGACTAGAAACCTTTGGACTTGAGGGAAAATTTATTTTAGAGAGACTGTAACACTAGAAGCTTGAACTAACAATGGGCCAAATTTCATCTTTAACCCCAAGAGAATAGGATGGGATGAAGGTTTTCTTGTATTAATGGGAAGGTATAACTTGCTGGTACCCAAGTATGCTTGACCAATTGCCTCAGTTTCATACAGGGCTCTAGGAGATTCTACATCTTACATAGTAGGCCTGAAATAATCATTGCTAAGACTAGCCATCATAATGGTAGGCTATAATTGGAAATTTGATCAAGTAAACTCAAGGCCTTGAGATTATAGGGTTAATTCATATATTTCAAGAAAGGCATGTACTATATGCCCCATTTATGAGGAATAAGGCATTTCCCCTTTTATAAAATGTTATGGATTCCATCTCCTGATGAGAGAGGTATAGGGCATTGGGGTCTGCATAAAGGATGTAAATGGAGGCAACATGATAATGAAAAGAACAGATTTGAAATAGAAGACCCAAATCAAAGTCTCAGGTTTGCTACTTACTTGACGTGTAGCTTTGGGAAAATAATTTATCTGGTCTTCAGATGCTGCTTGTGTAAAACAGAAGCAATACCACTGTGAGATAAATATACCTTCACCATATTATCGTGAGAGCTAAATGAATGGTTTTCAGTTGTGTCTGACTCTTTGTGACCCCATTTGGGGTTTTCTTGGCAAGGATACTGGAGTGATTTGCTATGTTTTTCTCCAACTCATTTTATAGATGAGGGAGGTAAACAGGTTTTAGTGACTTGCCCAGGGTCACACAGCTAGTAAGTATCGAAGTTGGATTTGAGCTAATGAAGAGGAGTATTCCTAACTTTGAGCCCAGAGGTTTATCCACTGCACCACCTCACCGTCCAAAATAACATGTATATGAGTGCTTCATAAATGTTTAAAAATACTCTACAGTTTTAAGTGTAAGTGGCCATATCTCCCAGAAGTCTGCATTGAGTTCTACATTGTGGAGATGCTAGAAATCCTCATCACATTAGATGTTAGAAGCACTTAGCACATGATGTTTGGTGATGTTGCCACACTGTGGACCCTCACCCAGGCCTCTGGGGAATGTAGTTCCCAGAAAGAACATGGCCCTTTTACATAATACTATTAATATTAGTTATTGGCAACATTAGAAATAATATAAATAAAATACATGGATTAAAGTATTCCTAAGTGATCCATTATAATAATGGTAGTGGAAAGTAATATAGTTTTTTAAGGTTTGCAAAACACCCTATCTACAATACCTCATTTGATCCTTACAGGAGCCCAATGAAATAGGTGCTATTATTATAATCATTTTATAGATAAGAAAACTGGGGCTTATAGGTTAAATGACTTACTTAGTGCCACCCAGCTAGTACAGTAGTAAATGTCAGAGGCAGAATTTGAATTTAGGAGGTCATCAATCTATTTACTATGCTTCGTCACTTATGAGACGTAAGTGAAATCTTGTTGGTTGAAGTACAAAGTACTTCATATACCTTTTTCCTCAGAACTATTTTGGGTAGGTGGGGTACCATGTTTATGGCTAGGAAGGTGATTGGCCTATTATCTACTGTTCTGGATAGAGTGCACAGATCAGTCACAGAATCAGAGGATCCTAAATCTGAAGCTCAAAGGTATCTCAGATGCCGTCTTATTTTATAGACAAGGAAGCTGAAGCACCATGAGGTTAAGTTGCTTGGCCAAGGTCATGCAGATAGCAAGCATCAGAGGTGGGGATCTGAATCGCTGTCTGATGAAATACTATCATTACCTTCATTGTATATAGATGACTACTGAGGCATAGTAATGTAAAATGATTTGCTTAAATTCTTATACCACCCTATTGACAAACCCAGAATAAAATTGTTCTTTTTTTCCCCTAATATTTGAGTTTTGGTTCTCTATTATTAGATATATCAATATAATAAGTTAATTTGGTTAAAAAATTATTGAACCATTTGTTTTGTTTGGTTTAGACTTATCAAGTAATTCATTTAACTTGTTGCTTTTCAAATGGTTCTGTTGGTATTTTGTAGATATAATCCCAGTCTCCAACTCTGTCCACTAGATGCCTCCCATCCTTGGTTGTAGACCAGGAAACAACTCACTAAACATCCCAACTTAAAGGTGTCCATATATTACCGAGGGAGAGATATGGGCAGATTTTATAAACCTAATCATCTGTAATAACTTTGAATATTCTGGGACCATTCCCATGACTCTGTCACATGAACATGGGATTCTTCTTAATTCAGTGAACTTGCCCATTTGTAGAGGCAGCTTGGAAGAGTGGATGGAAAGCTGACTTTGGTGTCAAGAAAACATGGATACAAGTCCTGCTTTTGACATATACTGTGTGACCCCAGACAAATCATTTAACCTTTCAGTGCTCCAAAGCTCTTTTTAAGGCTACCAGTCGTAGAAGATGTACAGATTTGCATTGTTATAAGGATTTCCTTATCAGGAGTTCCTTCCATCAGTGAAATCCCAGGTACAGACCAAATGCCCGTTTGCAGCCCAAGCATAATCTTTGCTTCTTGTGACTTGCCTTTTCATTCATCGTCAATACTCATCTGGTTCTTACTGTGGACATCTTTGTATTGTTTTTCTTGTGTGTCTATATGTTCTGCTGTGTTCCTGTTTCTCAACCCCTCCCCTCAAGACTAGTATAGTAAGTGCCAAGTGTGTGATAAGTGCTCAAGAGATACCCTTCCAATTCATTATTTTCTAAATCATTCCGCCCCCGCGAGCCCATTTAATGCTTCAGCATTTGCTCTTGGAAGTAAAACTCCTTTACACTGTGTCCTCCGGTTTGTTATGAATATCAGTTATGGTTACCCAATACAACTATAGAATTGGGTCTCTTTACCTCACCATTGCCATCTTCTTATAGTTCTGATTTCTCTTCATAAAGATCTCTGTTTTTGCCACTAATAGATTTTAGATTGGAATATTCTGAAACCCTCATAAAGTCTCATTTTGGAATATGTTTGTGAATATGACTGGTTAGAGAGAAATAACAACTGAACTAAACTGCAGTTCTCATTTAGTGTTAGGTCTTAAAGTTTTTGAATAACATGCTCTTTTAAAGACTATAAATTTTAGGCCAGATATTGAGCACAAAAGCATAGTGTGGTTACCAGAGCTCTTGAGGTGTTAGTTGAATTTTTAATAAAAGGGAGAAAATGATTTGAATGGATAAGATTTGGGAGATATTCTAAGAGTGAGATCCAGAGAGGAAATAAGGAACAGAGGTGAGAGTAGCAGAAAACTACAAGCAGTTGAAGAAGAAACTTGATTGACTGAAGTAAATAAAACAGAGAAATACAAGTGACAAAACAGATGAGAAAAGCAGTTATGTTTTATGATGGTATGCTCTTGGTAATTTGCTGGTATCCATGTAGAAAGCCTTGAAATTTTCCATGAGAAGCTGTTCACTTCTCTGTCACTCTGTAATAATACATAGACAAGATCCTTTTCTCCATGTTTCTAAAAACCAATGGACTGAGAATAGTTGTTTTCAGAATCTGAATTATAGGTTGATGGGTCTATTCCCCCAAGTTTCTGTGATGGGAAATGCATCCATAACGATCTTAGGGGAAAGAGGAGCAAGAGAAATGCTACTGAGAGCAGGAGCCAACCAAATCTTGTTGTCCCCTTTGTTCCCTTTTCCTACATATTACTACATTCCACTCCTAGAACATTATTTCAGTTCTCATCCCTGAGTTACTTTTCTTTTTTAATTAAAAATGCGACTGAGAGCCCACCATAATTGCCTTGTACCACCTGCACCTATATAAGAACCTATCATTCTTGCTTAATTCTAGGGTCCTTTCTCTCACCAAAACCCTCATTGTCTATCTCCACCAGCCCTTCCTGTGCCCTCTCAAGGGGAGTCATCTTTGGAGGGCATCCATTCTTGTCTCAGATAAGACTGTTCAGGCAACACAGCTTTGAACTACCCTTCTTCTTCGGCTTTCAATAAAACAAATAAAACAAGTTTTATACATTTTTGAAAAAAAAAGTTCATTTGCAAACTTAAAAAAGGAGATTAAAAACTCCGTAAGGGCGAAGACTCTTGTTTATCTGGTTTAATATTTATAACTATGGTTACTTAAATATTAAATCAAAGTACATACAATTGCAAAATAGTAAATTGGAATTACAGATATGAAATAATCTGTAAAAAATTCAAAACCAGGGCAGAAAAAAAGGTATTCAGCATTTCAGAATCAAATTTGTCATGTATCTATCTATTATCTATTATCTATCTATCTATCTATCTATCTATCTATCTATCTATCTATCTATAGATATAGTACACACTGGGATTGGGTCATAGGATTCCAAACAGAAGAGAACTTGGAGATTGTCTACTATAATTCTCTTACTCTATGGATACTTGGAAAGAGAATAATTTGAATCTAAGCCTGTTAATTTTTATGAAAAAATTCTACTTACTGGTATATACCCCAAATTAAAAAACCATTGTGCTATACAAATTATATACAATTTTATTATTTGATCTTAGATAATACTGGGATATGATACATAGTACAAATCATGTGCAATGACTTACATTTCCCTTCTTCATTCCTGCACAGTACTTTTGTATCATCTGTGCTTTGTATGACTTCAAGAGATTCTCCAGGCTTCAACTGTAAATCTCTGGCTCCCCATTTTTTAGAACTTAAGGTAGGCACCACTTGAGTTGTATAGAGGACTCTAATTTCACCATCAAACTGAAAACAAAAGAGATATTATTTGTATTTTCCCTAAATGTGCTGTTAAAACAACAATTTTTGAACAATTTTACATGGAAATCCATGTTTATATTCAATTCAATTAAACAATTTAGCAAGCATTAATTAAGCATCTGTCATGTTCCAAGTTTTATACTGGGCACTGGAGCCACAGAGACAACAATGAAAAACAGTCCCTGCCTTCAAGAAGGTTACATTCTACTAGTAGATATGACATCTAAACAGATAAACACATTCAAAATATATTAACAAGGATAGACAAATTGGCACCTGAATGACAAATTAAATGAATAAGAAGATAATGAGTTTGGCTGGAGTGTAGAGTGTGTGAAGAAGAGTATCATGAAATAAGGCAAAATGTAGCCTAGTGACATCTGGCAAAAGGCTTTAAGTGCTAAATTGAGGAGTTTGTACTTTATCCTAGAAGGACTAGGGAACCATTGAAAATTCTTGAGCAATGAAGGGACATGGTCAGGAACATTATTTTGGTAACAGTGGAGAGGATGGATTGGAGAAGGGAAAGACTAGCAATATGAAATCAAGTTGGGAGGCCATTGCAATAGTCCAGGCAGCAATGATAAAGGCCTGAATTAAGGTGGAGCCTGTGTGAGTGGAGAGGAGATGGATGCAAAAGATGTTATGGAGGTAGAATCATCAAGACTTGGCAGCTCAACAACATATGCGATTGTATGTGTGAGGTAAGTGAAAATGAGAAGTTGAAAATAGCATCTAGGTTGTAAACCTGGGTGACTAAAAAATAAAGGGGCCTCTGGCCAATAACTAATAGGGAGATTAAGAGGTGAAATAAGTTCTGGGCAAAATATAATGAATTCTATTTTAGACATTTTGTGTTTGAGATGCCTATGAAAAATTCAGGTAGAACTATCCAGTACAGGTGATGTTGCACTAGAATTCAAGAGACAGAAGACTTCTGTGTGGGTGTCTCTGTGTGTATTATACACATATATGTTATATATTACATATATATCTATATAGAGATCATAATTGAAATAATAGGAGCTGATGAGAACATCATAATGATGATATTGAGAGAGCAGATGAAGAGTCCAGTATTGATGCTTGGGAATCTTCATGATAAGAGGGTGAGACATGGATGATGAGCCAGCAAAAGTGACTAAGAAGGAATAGCCATATAGATGAAGAATCAGGAGACATTAGAGTCATGATTTTTATTTGCATATAGAAAAACAATTCTATACATTATTGAATTGTAAAGAACAGTGTTATTAATATGTCCCATTTGTGGAAAAGGCAAATGAGAATCCAACCAGAAATTATTTTTGACTTTAAGAGTCCAAAATAGAGAATTTAACATCTTGATTCAATATTTTTGTTGTATGAAATGACTATTTGGCCCTGAATAATAATAAGATGAGAATAAGTGCACCAGTTTTTAATTTATTAAATGCTTTAAGGCAGTATAAAATTGTCTGCAATTAGCTAAATCACAAATTTGGGTAACAGATTATAAACTCCTTGTGGGCAGGGATTATCATCTATACCCCATTCCTATAAACACCACAGTATCTTGCCCACTTGAGATGTTTATCGAATGCTTGCTGAATTCAAAATGTTTTCTTTAAGCCCAAAGTGCTGACATTTAAATATTATCTTTTTAGTAAATAAGTGGATAGGATTGTTGACTGGAAAATAACACTGTGATCTTGAAGATTTTTTGAGGACTGCATTCTTAAAAAAGTGAATTTGGGTAATTACCATCCACAAAATGAACGAAAGACATACTATTTTTAGTTGGTATTGTGAGAAATTGGTAAATTCATTGGTATTCTGAAATAGGCACCAATTTTTATTGACCTTTTGAAATTCTGATCAGATTTAATTGACTTACTTTGAATTTTTTCTTGAATTCCTTTTCTTCTTTTTCTTGCTTTTTCAGCTTCTTTGGGTCTTCTGATTTGCTTTTGCCAAAGTTCACTCCTAGGCTATAACACCAGAACATTGACAGAATAGTAACTCTTTCCATCAAAGCTTGAAATGACTCTCATAAACCAAATATGGACAACAGAAAGACATTATCAGCAATAGCACTAGTTTTAAATTTTACTTTATCCATTTTCTTGAGGAATCAAGTGTATTTAGTGTAACCAATTATACCACAGGAGGGATTGCTGAAGAAAACATAGAATTATTGAATGTTATAACTCAAAGGGACTTTAGGCATCATTTAGTTCAAACTCACTCATTTTAGACATGAGACAATTATGCAATAAAAATTAAATGATTTGCTTAAGCTCATGAAGAAGTTTTAACTAAATTCTCTTCTCCTTGCCAAGTAAACAGCTTTTTGTCATTTTAATTATATATGTATATGTATGTGTGTATATATGTACACACACTATTGTCTAGATTCTACTTTCTTCATATTGACCTAAAAAAAAAAGGAGTGATGGGTAGCCTAAATCTATGATAAAGAAGGTAGACTTTTAATGAAGAAAAAGAATGCCTACACAGCTATTGGAACTGGCTAAGATTTATTCTTTTTTCTAATTGTCCTACATGCTTTCCTTTTCTTTTTGCCACATGCCTTTTCTGTGTTTGTATCTAACTTTTTTTTTTTGGTGGAAGAATTGTCAACAGTGTTTTGATAAGGTAATGGATTTTTTGAGAAGTGACCACACTCAGGGTGAGAGGCATGGCACTCACCAGGGAATATCTTTTATATACTCTACTTTAACTATGCTGAAGTAGTCAAAAGGCAAAGAGATGAATGTAGGGCTAAATATGGAGGCTGAAGAAGAAATCTGAATTTCTGCAAGCCCTCTTATTATCAAGTTCCTTATGAACAACTAAATATGAATTTATTAAGTGCATAGCATCTAGTTTCTCTTTACTTGTATAATAACAAATTCTCATTAAAAGTGATTTAGTTCAAATATTCCTGATGCTTCACTCTGAACCTTGCCATGTTCTGAAAGGAGGGTCAGTGAACTCTGTTCTTCCAGTTCTATTCGTTAGTGTCTTTTGCCTGCCTTATTTAGAAGCCAATGGAAACTGTTGCTCAAATTAGCTCTGTGGATGTATTTGAAAGAAATCTGAATTTTTTTTTAAGTGACTTGTCCAGGGTCACACAGCTAGTAAGTGTTAAGTGTCTGAAGCCAGATTTGAGCTCAGGTCCTTCTGACTCCAAGGCCGGAGCTCTATCCACTGCATCACCTAGCTGCCACTTGAATTTTTTTTTAAATGTGAGATAATGCTAGAAAAGATCAAGAGTTTTGTGCTTCCATATCTGATGTATCCATAATCTTTCCACAAGTACTGATTGCATCCCATCCATCTCTTGTCATTTTACGTGATTTTTATCCATATTCTTCTAAAAATCCCCAGTATGTGGAGAACTTCCCATGTCTCTTTGAATATTATGTAGGTACCAGTGTGACATATAGGCAGTTTATCTGTTGTTACCCTTTCCTCTGATTATATGAACATGGTCTAGTGTAGGTTCCCCACCCCTGGTCTATACTGCCTTTGGAATCAGGGAACCTCAATTCAAATATCACCTATGATGTTTGCTATCTGAGGCAAGTCAGGCTCCCTGAGCCTCAACTTCCTTATATGTAAAACAAAGGGGTTAGATTCAGCCTCTGAGGTTCTTTCTAGGTCTATGAACAGTTAACTTCATTTTCTAATCAAGATGTCATTAAAGATTTTTATAAATTCAGAAAGTAGGTAATGCTTAAGATAGGAAGATAGGATATTTCCGATAAGGTTTAAAAAACTGGAATCTGGTTATTTGGCCTGGAAAAACAAAGTCCAGAGGTTTTTGTAGGGCTATTATAGAGAAGATAACTTCTTTGTACCGCAGTGTCCTCATCTGTAAAATAAGAAGGTTAGAGAAGATGTTCTCTGAGGTCCCGTAGAGCTACAGAGCTAGGATCCTATGATCACATGCAGTGGTGACCAATTGTTTCTTATTAAGGTTATAGGACATACTATGAGGTAAGAGGCCAAAGAAGTGTCAGTAGAAACTGAATTAGAAATAAAGGCAGATTTCACTATGGTGAGGGTTATTTTAAAATTTCAAATTATTATTTTATTTTTGTTTTCAACATTCATTTAAGAATTTTTTTATTTTGGTGGAAAGCGTTATTAAACACTGGACCAGGTACTAGTGGAGGTTATGGAAACTCTTTCTAATTATAGACTTAAAAAATATTCTCTAAGAGATATTTATCTTTAGGGGATGGCTTACATGAACTTTATCTGTGCGTTGAGTGGCTGAACATTTTTTCCCTTTGGATTCTGATCCTGTCAGATTTTCTATCTCATTTGCCATGAGCCACATAGCAGTGTTCATAAAACCCCAAAGAAAAAATTTGTAGTTATTTTTTTTTGAACAGCTCACAGAATCAAGTTGGCCATATTCTGTTTGTATTTTTTCCTTCAACAGATACTTTAAATATTCTTATTTCTAGTATAAATCCTTCACTATTCACTTTCTTTAAGAGAGCAAAGACTTTTCTGTTTCAAGGGAATTGGCTGCTTGGCAATAAAGCTAAATCTTTTCTATTTTATAATTACAACATGAGAGGCACAGATGGTGCCATGGACAGAGAGCTGGCCTTGGAGTCAGCAAGACCTTGGTCTAAGTTCTGCTCCTGACATATACTGGCTTTGTAAGCCTACACAATTCACTTAACCTCTCAGTGCACCCAGATAACTATCCAAGACTATCAATTGCTGGGCAGCTGCTTTTCTGTGTTGGCAGAAGAGGTTTCCATATTGGGAGATCCCTGTACTGATGACCTCACAGGTCTAGACAAAAAAACAAAATCATATCATAAACCATTTTTCATATATTTGAAGCATGTAACTTAAAATGTAATAATTCTTGATGAGTTGGAGACCTTTGACATTCATTGGTTAAAGTGATCCTGGTTATATCAGTGACAGGCAATGAAAGTTTGGAGGAGTGGACATTCCTCTACATTTTTTGTCCTAGCACTGAAAAATCAGATCTGTGGATCAAGAACTACAGCAAAGCCTACTGAGATGATGTCTGTTCTTGGAGGCTTACAGGTATCCTTGGCTTTTGAAGTCTCTCACACGTGCCACAAAGTTCACTTGCATCTGAAAGACTTTCAATTACTCTTAAGTCACTCTAAGGTGAGATATTTACAGGGGTACACTAGAGACAGCTCACTCACACAGGTTTGAGAGCTAATGGTTAAATTTTCAGTGTGACCATTTGCATCTAGAAAGTAAGCAAACAATACAAATCAGGGCTTGATTTATTGTTTTACTGGTTATCTAAACTTAAGAAAGCGATGGAGAAAATGTTCATAAAAGTGTTAAAACCATGATGCATACATTTTTTTTTTCCTCTCCGAAGACTCGATTATTAAACGTTTAGCAGCACACAGCCAAGTATTTGTTTCTGACTTGACTGAATATTAGTCATTTATATAACTCCCACCTGTTTGCTTGAAAAAAAAAATAGAAGCACAAAGAATGGGGATCAAAGCCATAGGAGAATTTTTAATGTGAGAAACAAAAAACATTTTCCATTTGTAATTAGATGGTACCACACCTTCAGGTCTTAATTCCCCAATTAATCTCTTTTGGAACTTGAGTTGGCCAGGACTGAATAGCAGCAGTTAAAACAAAACAAAACAAAACTTGGCCTAGAGTTAAGCTTCCATCTTCTCTGCAGCTGAATAATTCTTGGCAAAAGGGTGGGAATGTCATAAAGAATTTTCAGGGTCAGCATGGAATCTTGAAAATATTTCATGTACAAACAGAATAGATTATATTTTTCTGACTGAATGCTACAATGCTGGCTCAATTTCTCCAATGCTGAATTCATTTCTATGCAATAAATGGACACTGTATTACAACGGGCTTTACCTACATATGTTATATAGAGCTGCATAAAGTGGTGAATAAATTAGAGTATCTGATTTCACTTCCATTGGAAATCTTACTCCAATAGCTATTGCTGTTTTTCTTGGATTCCAGCCTAAAATTTTCCTCATTAATTTCCTACTCTTACAAGAATGATTTTATAGCAACAAACACTTAACTTTTTTTTTTTTGGTGAATAATAGACATGACTGACTAAGAGATGATTGGGGGCCCCATTGCTTTAACAGAGAGAGAGAGAGAGAGAGAGAGAGAGAGAGAGAGAGAGAGAGAGAAGAGAAGAGAAGAATCTGTTTGTGGAGTATGGTGGGAGCTTAAACAGGCTGACCGAGTGCTGAGTTTAAAGTTACAGAGTGGATTAGAAAGTGGAACAAAATGAAAGTGAGAGACATAGGTGGATAGGACACATCAGGCCCTGCAAATGTAATGATAGGTAGGTTGGATTAAGGCAGGGGGACAGACAAGACTATCCGGGAGCTGAGGAGATAAATGGCAGGGTGGGCAGAGGCAGTAGAACAAGATGGAAGTCAAGGGGAGAATCTAGCAAGGGCAGGAACACAGTAAGTAAAATAGGGAATAAGAACACAGCTGATACAGTTAGGTAAAAGGAATAAATCTACTCTCTGTGGTGTCCTCTATTTGTATGGGGTGTCCCAAAAGTGTCAGTGCAGTTGAAAGCTTGAATAGCTTTGGATTAATTTCTATACAATAAATGAATAATCTAGTACAATGGGCCTCTTCTACATATGTTATCTAGAGCTGCATAAAGTAGTGAAATTAGAATATGATTTCACTTCCATTGGAAATCTTACTTCAATAACTATTGCTATTTTCTTGAAAATTTTCTTAGATTCTAGCCTGTTTTTTCCCTTACTAATTTAATTAAGCAAGCTTTAATAGCCTAAAACCACACTAAGACTTCAGGCATACCCTGTTTTTGTTTTTTTTTTTTTTTGAATTCCATAGGCAATAGAATTGGGAACAGGTTTCTCTTACCTGACATCTACTGGTGGAGCAGGGAAGTCAGATGCATCCACATCATCATAGACTTCATCTCCTACATCTAACAAAACACAAAGTAGAGGAGAAATGGAGCAGAAAAAAGATTAGTTTTGATTTTGAAATAGGGATTTGATGCTCAATTAGTACCATTTTGGAAGAAATGGAACAGAAGGCAAGCTGTGAAATTTTTCTCATGTTGGTTCTGGTCTTTGCAATTAATTGTAGCAAAAAAAAAAAATCAGCATATGGGTTGCTGTTGTTCAGTCATGTCCAACTTTTCATGACCCCATTTGGGATTTTCTTGGCAAAGATGCTGTAGTACTTTGCCATTTCCTTCCCCAGCTCATTTTACAGATTAGGAAACTGAGACAAACAGAGTTAAGTGACTTGGCCAGGATGAGACAACTAGTAAGTGTCAGAGGCCAGATTTGAACTCACAAAAATGAGTTTTCCTGATTCCAAGTCCAGTCCTCTATCCACTGTACCCCCAGCAGCCCATTTTTTTCTCTTCAGGTTTGAGGATACCCGTATGCTGAATTTTTTAAAATACAATTAACCACAAAGACCATCTATGAAGATAAGTAGAGATTGTCATCTATGCCCACAAAATCATAGATCCTTGAATTATTTTTTCCTTAGTGTTTTCAAAGCCCAGCCCAGGTGCCACCTCCCGCAGGAGTGGCACCTTCTGTAAGAGGCCTTTCCTAACTTTCCCACTCCTTGGAGTAGTTAGTGCTGTCTCCTCTTTGAAATCATTTTTTATCATTTTGCATATGCTTTGTATTTCATTTTCTGTATATGTTTTGCATTCCCATGAGAATGTATGCACCTTCAATTAACACCTAGAACTGTTTCTTTTTTTCCCTCTCTTGGTTATCACTATGCCTTGTATAAAGGGAACTTAATACATATTTGTTGAGTAATCCTTAGTGTACGGAAGGCTGAAAAATATTTCAAGTAATGATGTACCTAACCACCTCCACTATGTTCCCTATATTTTTGGTCTTTTTGTTTTTGGACATATTTTTACCTAGTCATCAGAGCAGTTATATTTGATATCTATAGCTTAATTCAGTCAGTGGTTTCTGGGTTGCTAAGGCTTTTGAGCAAGCATCTCTGAAAATTATTGATTCAATTACAATGATCAGTTCACTGCCTTGTTCTTATAAGTTTGATTTTAGATTATTATGTGAGGAAAATAAATGCCATACTATTTTGTATTTGGTCTGATTTTTTAAACAATGAACCTTTTTTGTAATCAGACTCTAGAAGTCCTTGCATAATTGAATGTGACTGTGTTTCTTAGAGAAACTGGTTTTTAATCGCAAGGGATTCTGCCTAGGTGAGGAAAAAACAAGAATGCTATAAGTTATGCTAATTCTCTCCCATCTTTGCATTCCCTCTTCACCTGCTCCCTGGGCTAGTCCCAAGAATCCCCTTTGCCTTTCCTCTCCTCTACCTCCCTGGAGCTGCTAGGGTATTATAGGGTTTGGATGAAATGGGTATCAACAACTCTATGCCTTCCCACGAGATGGAGGACCCTCATGCCTTATCATCTGCCCTGTCCCTATGTCCTGAAGTCTTGGCACTGACCTCCTGGTAGAACCCAAGGTCCCCTAGGCCTTTTCATCCTCCTCCTCACTGAGCTTCAGGACTTCTAAGCCTCCCCATCTGTTCCGCAGCTGGAATTTCTTTTATATATTATCTCTTTCAATTAGGGTGCGAGCTCCTTAAAAGTTGAGACTGTCTAGCTTCTCCTATTTTTATTCCCAGTACTCAGCAAAGTCCTGGGCATATAATAAGTCCTTAAAAATGCTTTTTCATTCATTCATTCATTCATTCATTCATTCATTCATTCATTCATTCATTTATCCATCCATGCATCCATTCATTTATTCACTTAAAGTAGTACTTTTTACAACACATACATGAGCACAGATCAAAGATAATAGTTTTAGAACTGGGAAGTATCTTTGAGATTTATCTAGTCCAACTGACTTAATTAACTGATACAGAAACTGACCCAGGGAGGATAAAGAGCACTTGGCTTAAAGGTCAAACAGTTTATCCTGGCAGAGCCAGGATTGGGACCCAAGTTTACTCCTCTCAGTTCAGAGCTGTCCCTACTACCTCATGGAACAAGAAACGAGATAAATAATACAACATCTCTGCTTACCCAATCCAAGCTGCTTTGGGGGAGGAGGGAAACTGGAAAAAAAATAAAAGTAGTTACATTCATATTACTATGTGAATTCAAATATTTTCTTATTATTTAGAGTAGACATGAATAAGTGATAGCCAGGAGGCTTTCAGTAGTTAATTAAGTGATTGATTGCCATTCCCCTCTCATCTTCCATTTCCCCAATGACACTGAGCCTTTACCATGAAACTTGGGTTTTATTTGGAAGCTTGCATTGAACCAAGACAAATAAGGCAACATCAAGGTCATGTTTAGATGACTGACCAAATCAGTTGAGTAAAAATAAATAAATCTGGTTCACAGAACCAGAAGGCAAAGTCATATGGCATGACTGAAGGAAGTAGTGCTCCCAGGTTGTCACTAAACCACTTAGCCACATGAATGGCTACAGCAAATTGAGTTGACTAAATCTTTTGGTCCAGTTCCAATTTGACCACCATCCTATAACTCTGGTTCAAGATTGCTTGGAACTATAAAAAACAGAATTTCAAATTAACAGAAATAATACAAGTATTTCTTACTACATGTATTTTAACTCTTTGGCACAATACAGGAAAAACGGTGACCAAGAGGGGAATGTCCATTTTACCCAGTGTGAGATCATGAATTTAAAAGTGATATGAAATCAGTATAAAGTGGTTAAATGATAGAGTAATACCTCTTGCAACGTGGTTTATTCTTAAGTGGTGTTGTACAGAGATGATTTCTTTTCATTTCTTTCTAGAAATTTTAAGTGTTCTGTTTATCAAAGTGATGAACTATTGTTTCTGATAGAAATTTCATAAACAATTTCCTGGTTACATGTAATGAATTTCCTTGAAAGATTGACTAGGTTTTTGAAGCATATATGGTAAATCCATTTGAAACCTCTGAAGTAAAGGTTTTCCTTACAAGGGAACACTATTTATCATCTTTAAATTCAGATGGAAGGCTTTTCCACTCATATTTTTAAGGGAAATGGGGAAAAAAACCCATCTCTTTGTTTTTTTATTAGGATAAAGCTTTATAGCTTTTATCAAAAGTAGAGCACTGAAGAAATAGATAATTTAAAGAGTAATGAAAACTGAAGTTCTAAGTGTCTTTAAATGTGATATTCTTTATTTTGGCATGCGGTTCACTGCTTAGTAGTCAATAAAAATGTTCTGGATTGAATTATTTATTTCATATATAACTAGCAAGTTAATGTCTGAAAGAGAACATGTTCTCTTCTGCTCAATCTAAAAGCAATCAGTTCATTACTTAAATAATGAAATATGCCCTTATGATGTTGTGCCTTAACTGTGCACACGATGTAAAATTGAGCTGTTTTAATGTATACTCTTAGTGTGTGTTGGGAAAGCAAAATATATTTTGTAAAAATTACAGTCCCTTAGTTGAGTGAACTTATGAATGAAAGAAAAAAATAAGAATACTGTGATGATTAATTACAGAGAGCATGTTAACAAACTGGTTTATCAAAAACAATTTGCTTATGTGGTTACTTGGTTATGAAAATATTAGTAGTCATTGGATTAATATTAGTGTCATTATTGTGCATGGCACATGGTTGGCTGACTCTTACGCTATGTCTTCATTACTGTCTGACTCAGTGTCTTTAGATTTCTTTCGTATACTTTTCTTTTTGTCATCTTTTCCCTTTAACATCTTCAAAATCCCCCAGGTCCACGAATTACTCTTCTCTTCGCCCTGTAGCGTGGAGCTTTGGAGCATGCATGCACTGATCAGAATGCAATCATTGAACTGTAAAGATGTTTGAGTTGACATTCAGATGCCTTCATCATTCACACTTTATTGATTATGGGTCAAAATTCAGACAGCAAACAATCCAAACAAAAAATATTTTTGGACTTATATGATATTTCCTTTGATTATAAACATTCTAAAAGCCTTAGGCAGGGTAAAATTTCCTTCAGACATTCATGTGACTCATGTACTCCTTAATAGAACCAATGTTTAGAATCACGGCACTTTGAGAAGGAACGGACCTTAGTAATGGTTTAGTCTAACTCTCTCATTTTACAGATGGAGAAACTGTCTTTAACAGAAGTGAAATGACTTGACCAAGAACATAACAAGTGGTAAGTAGCAGACCCAGGATTCAAAATAGGATCTTCAGACTCTGAATGCAAAGCTTTTTCCATTTTGTCATATTAGCTTGGGGACTAAAGAAAATAATAAAAAGAGGGACGTATATACTTTTAGAATAGCATTGTTTTTGGTGCATGGAAGTAGAGAATTAAAATCAGCCAATATTGTATCAACTCAAAATATGCACCTGCTTTTATTGTAATTTTGGGATTAGTTGAAAAAAATCCTAATTTAGGGCTTAATTATATCCAAACCAAAAAACTATAGATACCACAGTACCTTTATAAAAGAAAAAAAAAGGAAAAAAAAGAAAAGAGACCTTCAAGGTCCTCTTAAGAGGTGAGCCCTCAAAAATTTTTTTTTTGATGAATTTTGCTTGAGAGTTGCTCCCAGCTGTTTTGTCCATCCTGCCTATTCATTGAGTTTTCTTCTGATTTTCAAAATATGAAGTCAGGTCAAGTTTTAAATATCTACTTAGTGATTTGCTGTATCATGTAAAGTCAATAGTTCATAGGTAATAGTTTACTTTACCTCCCTGGACCTCAGTTTCCTTAAATGTAAAACAAGGAGAATGGAATGGATGATTTCTAAGGCTCTTTCTAACTATAAATATTTGACTTCTTAATTTAAATAATTTAAAAAGAGGATTAAAACCCAGGAAGTGTTAATGATTATATGTTATCTACATCACAAACACTATAAAGTTATTTAACTTAGTTGTGCTACATTCTTCCCATTTTACAATGATCTTTATAATACTATTCGGACTTTAGATGGTTCATGAAAAATTATGAATTAGTGATTAAGTTCTTTGGAAAAAAATGACTACCCTCCATTTATCAAGTCTCTGATGTGTCTAACTCAGCTGTTTCCTATCTCTAAAACTGAATTCCCTCACCCCCTCCCCTTGGACTCCATCCTCAATGAAACTCTGGCTGCTGAAATCTTGCTCTTCAAGACCCAGCTCTTTAAATCCTTCTTTGATCCAAACATCATTTCCTCCCCACAGGTAAAAGTGATCTTATAGAGTTATGAAGTTCATGGATCTAGATAGAGCTGGGAGTCACCTCAGAAGCCATCAAGTTCAACTTCCTCATTTTTACAGATGAGGAAATTGAAGCATAGGGAAATGAAATTACTTATCCAAGGTCACACAAGTGTAAGCCCCAGAAACAAGATTTGAATCCAGGTTCTTTAAATCCAGAACCAGTGCTCTTTCCAGTGTACCACACTTTCTTCCTCAAATTCTTCATAGTAGTTTGTCTTATATCATAGGGATATAAGTTATTTGTACAGTGAGGACCTTAAGAACATGGTCTTCCATGTTCTTTAGGAGTCAATAGTTCTCAAAGTGTGGCCCAAAGACTTCCTGGGTGTCCCTGAGTCCTTTTCAGGGTCTCAAGATAAAAAAAATTTTGATAATAATACTAAGATATTTTAATTTCTAATACAGTAAATATTGATATTTGTTCAGTCATTTTTCAGTCATGTCTGACTTTTCATGACCCTATTTGGGGTTTCCTTGGTAGAGATACTAGAGTGATTTGCCATTTCCTTCTCCAGCTAATTTTACAGATGAGGAAACTGAGGCAAATGGGGTTAAGTGACTTGCTCAGGATCACACAGCTAGTAAGTCTCCAAGGCCAGATTGAACTCAGGAAGATGAGCATTCCTGACTCCAGGCCCAGTGCTCTATCCACTGCATCACTTAGCTGCCCTATTGATAGATATAACTCACATAAACAAAAGCTCTTTGGAAGAGGTCATCAATAATTTTTGGGAGTGTAAGACAGTCCTGAGACCAAAAAGTTTGAGAATTACTTTTTAGATTGTAATTACCTTTGTATTTCCAGTTGACTAGGTTTACTTTTGCACACATTAGGTGCAAAATAAATTGTCACTGAATTAAATGCTTGTAATAATACTTATTGCTTTCCTTTATCTCTCCTCTCTTTCACTTCTTCTGTGTTCTTTCTGAAGTCCCCCAAATAGAAAATACAATTCTAGTTGAAGTCTAGTATAATTATAGTATCTGATTTACTCCTACTGATGAGTGTAAAAATGTCAGTTCTATTCAGTTAATATATTTGAATAATTGTTCCTTCATCATAAATGTCTACTCTTTTGTCTCTTTCATATTAATGAAATAGCAAGAATAATTATTTTTTAAAATATTACAATTTTCAGTGAGAAAGACTAATGACAAATCTTATGCTCTTACCCATTATCTTCTTCTTCTTCAACACCATCATAAATTTCATCATCCTGAGTTGGAAACATTCCTTGATTTTAATGGTAGAAAAAAAAGCTCTTGTTAATTTAAAAAAAATCATTTATATTAAGAGTCAGACTGGTAGAGCTGATAAGGCTAGTCTCAAACCAAATAAGACCTAGTTCAAGTTCTGTTTCTGATATGTTCTGTGTGTCTGCTCAAACCATTTAACCTCTCAGTGTTCTAGGAAACTCTCTGGGACTCTAAGTAGAAGAGAAAATACCAACCTGCATTGGTGGAGGGATTGCCTCACTTGGGAGCTTCCTATGCCAATGAAATCACAGGTTGGGACCCTGTCCTCATATTAAAACTTTGACCAAAGCTTTGATAAGAAATAAACTTTAACTGTATACAATGTTTACATCTGTCTTAAATATTCATATATTTTACCATTTCATATTGCTTTTAACTCTCAAATAGGGAATACAGGTAAATTTAACTATAACAACTAGTTTGGAAGTAATATTAGTTCATATTTACATAGCACTTTACATGTATCATATCAATGTAGTTTTACAATAGCCTTGTAAGGTAGATAATATATGTATTATTATCCTCATTTTTCTGTTGAGAAAACAGACTCTGAGAAATTAAGTGATTTGTGGAAAATCCCAGATCTGGGAACTGAATACTAATAGTTTCTTTAAGTACAGGTGGTATACTACAAAAGAAATGATCAATAAAAATATTCATCTTACCTCCACTTCCACTTTGACTATGACTGAAAAAAAAATAGAGAATCTGAGTTAGTTGGTGAAATTGTTAGCTTCCAGTTAAAAGGATATAAAGCAATCTCATGAAAAGAGAGGTGGAAACATCACTTAGAGCTTTGGAAGGCATATTCTAGATGAATGGAAGCCAGAGTGTTGCTCTCATACCAAACAGGGAGAAATCAATCATTCTTCCTCACATTGGTAAATCAATAGCTATGAAGCAAATAAAATATGAACCCCAATAGGTTTTGCCTTTGCCAACAGGTGGTATTCAATGCAATAGTATTCCATTTGCTTCTGGGATTCATAGGTTGTTCAGGTAGGGCTAGCATCTCTGGTTTGAGGGTTTGTTGAGCCCTTTTCAGGGCTGCTTATCTATCTTTGCTGTCCGACTGATTCACACAACTCTCACTTGTGGCTCCAAGAAGCTGTAGTATGCTACAGCTGCTACAGCGGATACACTTCAGGGCACTGTCTTAGCAAATGGGCCAAACTTTCCCTGGCAGAATGGGCAGATGAGAACAATTTGTTCCAAAGGCTTTGAAGGCGACTGAAGCAGGCGCCGTGGAGCACTTAGAGCTTTGTCAGGCATCGAAGATGCCAAAGTCATTCCCTGCACCCCCAGCCATTGCCAGTTGTCTTGACTTTTGTCTTGCTACTGGACTTTGATGACTCAGGAAGAAAGCATGAGGCTGATGATGTTGTGCAACTCTGCATCATTTAAATCCAATTCACACACAAGTCAAAATATCACCTGTGATTTCATTGGTCCCCTTCAAAAACGAAGGACAAAGAACAACAATTCCATTGCTTCTAATTTTATCAGGCAATTTTTTTAGTGTAGCTTGCCCTAGCAACAAAGCATTTAAAAATACCGTGAAGGCATTATTTTTCCTAGAAGTCATATGTAATTTCAATCCTTAAATTCAAAATTGAATTTTCTGCTTAACATGTCCTTAACATTAACAATAAAAGTTAATATTTTAAGAGAGTCAAGAGCAGGAGCTAAATTGAGAATCAGGGCAAATCAGCCTAATTTAATGCATTCAGCTAAGATGTTCTTAGAACAGACTGCCTCTATTTAAATGTTTTCCCAAGAGTTCATATAAAACTAGTGGTAGAGAGGAGCCTAGAAGATAAAACTAACAATTTTGATTTCATAAAATTGAAAAGTTTTTGCACAAACAAAATTAATGGAGTAAAATTAATAGTTAACTGGGGAAAAATCTTTGCAGCATTTTTTTCTGATAAAGTTCTCATTTCCAAGATGTGCACATTTATATTTATAAGAACAAGAGCCATTTCTCAGTTAATAAATGGTGCAGTTTTCAGAGGAAGAAATCCAACTTATATACAGATATATATATAAAAATGCACCAAATCACTAATAACTAGAGAAATGTAAATTAAAACAACTATGAGCTTCTACCTCATAACCATAAAATTGGGGAAAAAATGAAAATGACAGTTGTTGGAGGGGCTTTGAGAAAATAGGCATACTAATATTATCATGGAGCTGGGAATTGCTGTGGCCATTTTGGAAAGCATTTATAACTATACTTCATAAGTCACTAAACTGTGCATACCCTTTGACTCAGTGATATCACTAGGCCTATATTCTAAAGAAATAAAAAAAAAGGTTTTATATGTATAAAAAATTTATAGCAGCTTTTCTTATCATGTCAATAAATTCAAAACCAAGGGGGTGTGGGTGCCCATCAATTAGGGAATGGCTAAACAAGTCATGGTATATGAATATAATGGAGAATCATTATGCTGTAATAAATTACAAAAGAGATGAGAAAAGAACAGTCAGAAGTAGGAAGACATATCAACTGATGCAGAGTAAATTGAACAGAACCTGGAGAACAGTTTTTATAGTAAAAAAACATTATAAAGAAAAACAACTTGAAAGACTTAAGTAACGAATTAGCCAATTATGAGCCCAGGTGATGAAATGTACTGCTTATCTCTGGACAGGGAGGCGATGAACTCAAGGTATAGAATGGGGCATATTTTTGAACATGGCCAATGTGGGAGTTCTTTTGCTTGACTTGGCATATTTGATACAAAGATTTTGTTTTTCTTTCTTTCAGTGAGAGATGGTTGGGGAGGGGGTGAGGGAGAGAGGAGGGAGACTTAGCAGCAAAGTTACCAAAGGGGAAAAAAGTAAGAAAAGAGTAACACTAAAGCATTTCTTAAAGGTATAAAAGAAGACAGAAGTAAGGTCAGTGAGAAACAAATAGGATAGTTTGGAAAATAATGTTTGTTGTATATATAACCTTTCCTTGTGATCTACAGCCACCCCAAAATCCACTAGAAATAGAAGTTTTGGAGCAAGAAAGTCTGGGCGGGCTATGCACGAAGGCTTCTAGAGAGTTTGTGTTTCTGTTCACGAGTTCTGTTCTGTTCTTGGAGAGAGAGACGAGGGAAGGGGGGGAAGCGGGGTAAGAGTGTCAGACATATGTCCTTCTTCTTGGGAACATGTGGAGAGATGCTGGTACCCAGGCTTACTGTATTCTAGATCTTCCACTCAGAGAGACTGAGATGACTGATAGCTATCTGAATGACTGATGCTTGTGAGAAGGGAGGGGTGAGGACCATGAGGTGCTTTGGCAAATTAAGCACCGTTTCCTGGCCTTGAAGTCAACCTTCGTGCTTCCTGTTATCTTTCTTTCTTTCTTTCTTTCTTTCTTTCTTTCTTTCTTTCTTTCT